CATATCATCAAGATGAAGAGTGAGAGGAGGAATTCTGGGAGTTGAAGTCCACAAGTCTTAAAGCTGTCAAGGTTGAACACCCCTGGAGGTTTTTTTCCTAAAGGGTTAGGGGTGCAAGGGGTCTTGTAACTTGACAGCTTTAAGACTTGCATGCTTCAAATGCCAGAGTTTCTGAGCCAACATTTTGGTTGCTAAGCAAGAGCGTTGCTAAGTGAGTTTCACCACATTTTACAAGTTGGCCATGCCCACCCAGTCAAATGGCCGGCAAGCCACTCCCACAAAGCAGGCCACATCTACAGAAGAGATTCTAAAAAAATTTGAAACCCACTACTGGTGTGCCCACTGCGCGGGTCCATGTGGACAACGTCGGGCCCGTTCCAACCATACCAGTAGGAACGGGATCCGGATCCCACCACTGATCCAAACCTGACTATCAATACAGAAATCACATTTGGTATTTCTCCCAACAGCAGCCTGACTACTGTATTCTGCGCCAACCGTTGCCTCCAAATGCCTGTAATAGCAGCCCCATTTAGTTACTGTTATACTTTCTAGTCCAAGAAATTAGATGAGATTCATTCAACCAAATACAGCTGAGTTGTTAATGGCTACAGATCTCGTTAAAAAATTCAGAATTTTTATGCTCTTAGGTAGAATACAGGGGTGAAATGCTACCAGTTTGGACTGGTTCATCCGAACCAGTAGTAAAAATGCTACCAGTTCACCCGAACCAGTAGTTAAAAAAATGCTACCAGTTCGGGCGAACTGGTTTTTCCGACAATTAGCTGTGATGGTGATTTATATTAGCTAGAAAGCAGGATCTCCCCCCACTCACTATTTTACCTTTGCAGGAGTGCTCGGTAGCGGCTCCGGCCACTGATTTTGACGCTCTGCGTACACGCACTCACATTGCTACCGAACTGGTAGCAAAGGTAAGTGGATTTCACCCCTGGTAGAATACGTCTGGATTCTGATGCCTGAGTCTCGAAAACAACTGTGGAAGAAGAGTATTGTGCCCTTTGTCTGTTTGTGGAATTCCCAGAGGCCTTTGATTGCCAATGGCAGACACTGTGTAGTCTTAGGCCTGATCCAGCATGACTGATTTTAACGACTAATCTCAGAGATGTTTCTGCTCACTCTTACCAACAATGTTGAACATGCACAATGGACATGTTTGGTGCTGCTGGAGCCAAGGGTCCACACACTGCCGATGGAACTCGTGGGAACAGGTGATGATCCGTAGTTCCTGTAAAGTAGGAAAAGGCAATGGGATGGGAAGGCAGCGATCCGGATTCAAAGAAAGGAACACTCTTGATTTGGGTGGGTCAGTCTGCTGCTTCTTGTGGCGTATCTCACTGGAAAGGTCTGGTGGGAATGTGGTTAAATCTCTGAGCTTCAAACAAGTAATGAGGTTTAGGAATCAAAGTCTTGTGAAAACATGTCTCTGTCTCTCAAACCTCACTACTCATTTGAGGTTTCGTGTGTTTTTAATCTAGTCTATGGGTAAAAAAAAAATTACAAAATGATGATTTATAAAGACTAAAATAAGATAGTAGAATGATTGGGAAGAATTAAAATAGGCATTAGTTCTTAGTTACAAAGGCTTTTTTGGACATTGCTCCTTCTCCTGTTCACAGATGGGACCAGACTGATCTCAATGGGGAGGAAAGGGTGGTCAGGGTGCTCCAACCAGCCTTAGAGCAAACATCTGCCCTTTTTCTACATGCATTATATCATCATACTACCCAAAAGGGGACAGAACTTGAGAGTGCGATGCTGTTTTCATCACGTGAAAAATGCACTAAAATGCATTTTAGATTTATTTTTCAAATTTATATAACCATCCATATAACAAAACATGACTCTGGGTGGAGTACAATTTTTTTTAAAAATAATAATAATTAGATGCAATACTAGAGCACTCCACAGTGCACACTAAGGGACACTAGAACAGGGGTGTCAAACCCAAGGCCTGGGGGTCGGATCCGGTGTTGGGGATCACAGGTGCCCTTGACATGAGTGATGTCGAACTGGCCACACCCACCCTGACCACATCCACCTGAGGCCCCCAAGGTCAAACACAACCCTGATGCGGCCCTCAATGAAATCGAGTTTGACACCCCTGCTCTAGAATATAGAATGCACCTGTAAAGAGCCATGTTTTTTTATCACTTCATCCACAGATTGGCTCGACTTGGTTTTCACCTTGTTCTAAAAACAGGCATTCCTCTTCTCACTCACCATAGTGGACTCTGAAGGGCTTGCTTATTTGATCTGGGAATCTACATGGGGACTCCCAAACCTGGCAGAAATGTATGCTTACCTGCCCCTCGCAAAATTCTTCCAAACAGATTGCACATATGGGAGGAGAACTGCAGGTGCTAGCAGAGTCCGCCGTTGGCGCATACCGATGGGGGGTTTGATACCTCCGTATGGCCAGCCGGTTGATTGCTTGCATGGTCGTTTCCTGCACATTCGTCTGAGGGAAGGATGAGAAAATAGAGGGAGGGAATCTTCCAAGGCCTTGCCTCCTGCACAGCTGATATGGGCCACAACAGTCAGCATTTCCTTGCAGTTTTAATAGATGACCAAGTTAAAGGGGTTTGGGGCAACCTAGTTCAACCAAACCTCTCTTGCATAATACAGGATTTTTTTAAGGGAGCCATATCTTCCTACAGTGTGCTGCTAAGCCATTGCTATGGCAATGGCAACGCACCTATGAGAATTTCAAGAGGATCCTGACAACTCTTGTAGCAGCACAATGTATGGCAGATGTGGTTGGGAAGATGCAGACAAAAAACTTGACTCTTTGATCTTTGATCTGCTGCTGGGAAGCTCGGCTGAGTCAGACTAGGAAGAGAATCTAGCTTTCCTTGTACAGTAAATGACTATTGCAGAGTTGCTGGGAGATGGATGGGATATAACTTTATAAATAAACAGCTAAACTCACTAGGCAGCTACTTTTTCTAAAATCCCCATAAAACCCTTCCATAAAATCTCTTTATTATATCAAATCAAAATGTAATTGTGTCCATCTGTACCAAAAACCTGATGTAAAGCGACTTGCTGCTCAGAGCCTCCAGAAAGGGAATGATTTACAAGTTTAAGTACAATATTAAATAAAGTACAGCTAGTCCTCAACTTACAACGGTTCACTGAGTGACTCTTCGAGGTTACAACGGTAATGAAAAAAGTGACATGACCATTTTTCACAGTTATGACCATTTCAGCATCCCCACATGATTTACATTTGAATGTCTGACAACTGACTCACATTTATGATGGTTGCAGCGACCCAGAGTCAAAGGGTCCCATTTGTGACCTTCTGACAAGCAATGGGCAAACCAGATTCACTTAACAACTGTGTTACTAATTTAACACCTGCAGGAGTTCACTTAATGAATGTGGCAAGAAAACTCGTAAAATGGGGCAAAAATCACTTAACAAATTTATCACTTGGCACCATATATTTGGGGCTCAATTGTGATCATAAGTTGAGGACTACCTGTACTATTATAGGTTTGGAGTGATATACCGTAATACCCAGTCCTTGTGCTTTGCCAATTTTTGGTGCCATTGTAAAATATGTGTCTGACATCCAAAACCTATAGTTCAAATTCCATAGGGTCTTAAGTTGCATACATTTTAATGGATCACCAGGAAATGTTAAGTAAAATATTAATCATGTTATCCGAGAGAGAAACATTTTCTGGAAGGATTGAGAACACTTGATATCAGATGGAGGAAGGTAAAGGTAAAAGTTCCCCTTGAACATATGTGCTAATTGTTCCTGACTCTAGGGGGCGGTGCTCAACTCCGTTTCAAAGCTGAAGAGCCAGTGCTGTCTGAAGATGTCTCTGTGATCATGGTCATCACCATGACTGGTCATCACCATGACTAAACACTGAAGGTGCACGGAATATTGTTACCTTCCCATGAAAGGTGGTCCATATTTTTCATTTTCGAACTGTTAGGTTGGCAGAAGCTGGGACAAGTAACGGGAGCTCACTCTGTTACGTGGCACTAGGCTGCCAACTTTCTGATCGACAAGCTCAGCTTCTTAGCCATTGAGCCACCGCGTCACAATCAGATGGAGTACTACTAAACAATTCTTACCTGATTTCTGCTTGGCTGACAACGAGTGCGAACGAAGAAGATTACAACAATGACCAGTACGGTACTCACAACGGTGAGCAGTATCCAAACATCATAATCTGGCTGTTGGGAAGATGCAAGAGATTAGAGGACTGCCATTTATTCCAATAGGCAACCTCATATTATGCCAAAAATAATCGGAATAGTGTGGTGATTAAATATCAATTCAAATCTCTATACAACCATGGCATGCACTGGTTTATATTACGTTATCCTATAATTTAGTCAACAATTTGATTAAACCATATAATTTATCTGAGCAGGAAATCAAACAATATCATGGTAACATGCAGGAGAAAAGTAAGAGACATAAATATTGCTTAATGCAAAAAGAAGTAAAGGAGAAAAGGTTAGATTAAGCTAGAATAACTAGAAATTCCACGTTCGAATATTAAGTTTCAGATGGTGATGATTAGGCAGAAAATAACAGAAATATGTAGAAATATCAAATATGGATATGTATAACCAACATAAAAACAATACTTAAATTCCAGATACAGGAAAAGTTACCTGGGAAGGAGGTAGTGGATAAAGGGGATTAAGGCTAGAAATATGAGGGATATAAGTGGAGAGGAGAAAGGATAAAGAAGGAGAAATCTGAGTACAAAAGGAACAAATAAGGAAATAGGAATGAAAGCTATTAAGGGCAAATCCTACTTCCAATCAACAGATTTACTACAGGGGGAAAAATCTGATAATATTATAGCTAAACAAGAATGCAATAAAAGCTCACACATTAACAAAGAAAAGACTATTAAGATAGGACTGAGTGGTTCTCCAGGGTAAGAAGCTTGAAAGCTAGACTGATAGGCATCTAAGATGAAAGACATCTAAGACAACAAATGCAAAGAACAGGACATGAGGCAAAAAAGATGATTGCAGCAGGTCTGCAACAAATAAGTTATTGAGCCAGACTGGGAAGGTGGAATTATTACATAAAGTGAAGGAATCGAGGTTTAGGGCTCTAGCTCACCTGAAAGTGCGAAGAAAAATTAAGAGGAATTAAACAAAAGAACCATTTTGTGCTCTTTCATTGCTGATGCAGCAGCAAGGAGAAAAAAATCACCACAACTGGGACTGAAAAAAATGTATGATGATAAAACAGGTAGTTCTCAACTTACAACAGTTCATTCAGTGCCTGCTTGAAGTTACAACAGCACTGAAAACGTGACTTACGACCATCTGTCACACGACCGTTGCAGCCTCCCCATTTATGTTTGGATGCTTGGCAACTGGTTCATATTTATGACGGTTGCATGGCGGGATCATCTTTTGCAACATTCTGACAAAAAAACTCAATGGGGAAGCCAGATTCACTTAACAACTGTGTTACTCATTTAACAAATACAGTCATTCACTTATGTGACAAGAAAAGAAGTAAAATGGGACAAAACTCATAGTTGACATATTTCTCACTTAGGAACATAAATTCTGGGTTCAATTATGATCATAAGCTGAGGGCTACCCACATGTATATCACAGAAGTGAGTACACCCCTCATATTTTGTAAATATTTAAGGATATCTCATGTGGCAACATAAATGAAATGACATTAGGCTACAATTTAGAGTAGTGAGTATACAGCTTGTATAACAATGTAAATGTGCTATTCCCTCAAAATAACACAATACACAGCCATTAATGTCTAAACTGCTGGCAAGATATCCTTAAATATTTACAAAATGTGAGGAGGTACACTCACTTCTATGATATACTACAAAAAATACTGAGATGTGCGTATTTGACAATAAACTGATTAAGAAAAAACCTAACTAGCATTTCCAAGAAAAAGAGCAAGAAACATTTATATTGCTATTTTGCTTCAAAAGTAAATAGCCAAAGCAGAGAATAAAGGCATTAAAGAAATGGTTTGAGGAAAATCCAGGACCATTGGCCAAAGAACCAAAATAATAGCTGAAAGCAACAGGAAAAAAAGGAGGAAGAATGGATCAAACTCTTTCACAAGGCAAAGCTGCACCATGATAGGATTAGTGGCATCTTTTGAGGACTTTGAGGTGAAAACAAAAAAATAGCTTAAGTTGGGAATAACCAAGGTACAGGTAAAGGAAGATAGTAGGTAAATAAAATGAACAGAAACCTCCTTAGAGCAGCTAAATTTAACCAAGGCATGAAGAAAGGATGAATAGAAAAATATGAAAATCAGCACCATAAATATCACAAATATGCTTTAGTTACATTTTCTCCAGTCAGCAGTTTCTTACATCTAAGATGGCTGGAGCAGGATTGGTGTTATAGTCAAACACCTCTGGAAGGGGAATTAATTTGAGAAATGTTGTCCTAGGCCAGGGGTATCAAACTCAATTTCATTGAGGGCCGCATCAGGGTTGTGTTTGACCTCAGGGAGCCAGGGGTGAGAATGGCCAGGGTGGGTGTAGCCAGCTTGACATCACTCGAGGCTCCGTTTTGTGGTTGCAACAGGATCCAATTTTGGCCATGATGGCCTCCTGTAGCCCTCTGCCAGTGAAAAAGGAGCCTGGGTGGGCCACACATGGCCTCCCCAAGCTCTGTTTTTGTTGGCAAATGATTGCAGAAGGCCATCGTGGCCAAAAATGGAGCTCAAGAGGGCTGCACAGAGGCAACGTGGGGCAGTCCTTCATGGTTTCCAGGGCGGTCCTGTGGGTCAGATCTAAGCACCCCACGGGCCAGATGCGGCCCACGGGCCTTGAGTTGAACACCCTTGTCCTAGGCTAAAGAGGAGACAAAAATGCAGCAGAGTTAAAACCATGGCTAATTGCTGTAAATTGTCTATGATAAAATGGAGAAAACTAGTTAAAGTATAGGTACGCAATCAATATTACTGTGATAATGACTTCAGATTTTCAATAAGGATCTAGGGAAGAAAAAACTTATTTACCCAAGCTGGCATTTCCTTCACCTCAATCTTCACATGGGCTTCACGGTTATTGTTCACCACTCTCATGAGAAGTTCAGCATTGTGGCCCCAGACCAGAACAACAGGATGACTCAGCTCTTGAGGCTTCCTCAACTGTGGACAGATGGAATATGAATCAAGCTCTCTGGACCATTCTACAAAACACTCACTTGGCTTTTGGGGGAAACCTGGAAATCATTTCCTTAGCATGTTTCAGCAAAGATTGGATTCAAGTCTCATCTCTACTGGGAAGAAGGCTATCTTAAAATCTCATTGAGTCATATGGTATTGCCCAGAAAGCTGTTTGCTTAGCAGTCAGTTTAGTGATAAGAAGGCAATCTAATGACCAGGTGAGACCATCAAGCTGCCTTCAAATCCAAACGGTACTCCTTTCTGATTTAGCTAGTGATACACTGAGTTTGTTTAATAAATTTATAAGGCCACCCATCTAGCCAATGAAACTCCCGGCAGCAAACATAAAATGCAAAATATCAACAGTTGTAACAAACACACCCACACCCCAGGTCAACATTTCCTCATTAATATCTTAGGATATCCATCCTATACATCGACACTGGAGCTTCAGAACTAACAGCCTGGCCCGAATGCCTGAAGGAAGAGTTAGTCAGGTTAGGGGTCATCCATATTTAGGGGCAAAGATGTTCCATATGGCAGGAACCATGACAGAGAAGACATGCTTCCTAGGATCCACCAGGTGAAATTACCTCACTGAGGGGACCAGGAACATGCCCATTCTACTAGATTTAGTGGCTCAGGCAAAACCGGTTGGGGAGAGGTGGTCCCTCAATTACTCTGGCCCCATGCTATGCAACCAATTAAAAAAGATAACTAGCCTGTTGAAGTGCAACCGAAATCCTGCTGGAGTCACTGCAGAGCACATAGCTATGCACTGTGTGGGAGTATCATGGTGCATGCAATTCTGCCCATGCCGCTGCCATTCTGGGCCAACTGGTGCTTCTAAATACTTCTGAAGACAGCTCCATAAAGAATGTGTTGCAACAATCCATGTGTGAGAGTGATTAATATGACAATGAGAAGCACCTCTAATCCAGGAATGGGTGCAACCAGTTGTGGGATTCAGCCAGTTCGTACCACTTCGGGAGAGCCAGTTGTTAACTTTCTGAGCAGTTTGGTGAACTGGTTGTTGGAAGAAATCATTAGGGCAGAGAACCAGTTGTTAAATTATTTGGATCCCACCACTGGCCATGTCCCAATCATCTTTTGCAAACCTCTGACAAGCAAAATCAACGGAGAAGCAAGAGTCACCAAGCAATCATGTTACTATCTTAACAACTGCAGTGATTCCCAACTGTGGTGAGATAGGCCATAAAATGGGGCAAAACTCACTTAACAACTGTCTTGGTTAGCATCAGAAATCTTGGGCTCAATTGTTGTTGTAAGTTGAGGACAAGCTGTATGATGTTCCACTTGACAACTGCATTGCTTAGTGACAGCAGTCATCAATCCCAATGGCCTTATAACCCAAGGACTACCTAAAATTTAGTGGAATCTCCCACCCAACCATTAATTCGTGAATTCCTTATGCCAGTGCTTTGGGTTTATTTTTTTAAAAAAA